TTCTCAAACAAGAGAAAAAATTTTGCTAACTTTTCCTACCCTAGCGTCTCTGATAATTTGGCTCTACTCAGAATTCCACCCCTTGACACCCAGCTATAATATTATGTGACAAAGAAAAATATCTGCCTACCATAAGACATTTTCTTTACACTTTTGAGTTTTACTTATCTATAAAGGACTATTGTGGATTAAAAGGAAAAGTACATGGAATAAATAAGCCATCATACTTTACCATACATGAGAACCAGAAAACAATAGATTCAAGCAAGGCTACTTACATGGAATTTGATTCTGAACTGTGAGGTTCAATGTGCCGCATGCCTAGGAGGAGAATCTGCATTCAGGGAAGCCCTGGAGGTAGATGAGCCCCAGGTTCCCTCTGTACATCCAGGGGTTGCTCTATTCTACTAGATCCTGCAGACAAAGGAGCTGCCTCCAAAGCTCTTATGTTGCATGTGATAGATACAAGGTGATCAAAGGAGAGAGCTGGAGATCATGCCTAAGAAGTCAGGCTGTTATTTTGACTTTGTAGCGTTCATAGAATGCTACAAAGTCAAAATAACAGCCTGACTTCATAGGCATGATAAAGACAGCCAGACCCAGGGAGGGCCAGGAGGTGGATCCTATAATGAGTAAATGATCACCATGTAATAAACATGACAAGTACTGTACATTCTACATGGTGGAGTGAGGGATCCTTTGAAAAAAGCCCAAATGCAGGATGGTGTAATTGATTTTAATATTCTCGGTTGGGGGCAGGGAGGGATGTGGAGAGAGGCACAGGGCAAGTAGACACTGTGGCTGGAGTTGAGGGCAAGAGAGGATGGAAGGGAAGCCCTTGGACAGCTGAGGATGAAGGTCATCGTTGTGTATCTCTCTTGGTGTTTTGCCTTTCCTCACCACACCAGTCAGCAAACAAGACCGAGAGAAGCCAGAGGGGAGAGGGGCTATGAAGTGTCTTCTGTCCCAAGGCAAGACCTCAGAAGGCGCATGCCTGACCCTCCTCTCTGACCGTTCACCTCCCAGAGCATTGCAGCCGGACATTCTGGAGTATGCAAGCAGCAGGGCACATGCGTCCAGGCTTAGGCCTCGACAAACATGCAGCGATGCCACACAAAAGACAAGCTGTAGATCCCGATCATCAACACGGCATCAAGCACCACGTGCCAACAGAAGAAGATAGTGGTGAACGTTACATCGTTTATGTCGTCATCCCTCCATTTATAGCCAGAGATGGGTTTGTACAGCATAAACCCTATTTGCATCAGCCAAGAGCCTGTGATCAGATACAAGAAGGCCTTCAGCATCCAGATGAGCGGCTCATCGGGAGCCCACAGCTCCGTGATCACCACGAGGGTCAGCAGGAACATGGCCTGAGTGAGCAGTCTGTGAGACTGCAGCTCCACGCCTTCCGTGTCCTGCATGTGAGACACCATCAGGGGCAGGTACATGAATATGCCCAGGGCTTGGGCGCCTTGCTCCAGAGCAGCGCACCTCTGAGGAAGCAGGTTCTGGCTCACCACGTCCAAGCATCCACTCAGAAAGAAGGACATATAGAGAGTGAGATGCTGCCACTGTTTGCGGTACATAAAGTTTCTCTGATGATATATCTTGCTCATCAGTACTAACTGGCCCGAGACGCTATAGAGCTCTTGAGCCACTACAATGCAGGCACTCAGTATCTTCACGAAGCCAGTCCAGTGCATTTGCCACAGCCGTGCCCATCCTCCCTTGTTCCAAGGGCGGCGTGGTGGATACTGGACAGGGGAGTTGCATATCAAAGCCCTGGAGAGGAGTCGTGCATGAGAAAGCCCATAGAGGAAAAAACACAGTCCTGGGAACAAATGACCCTCAAAGCCTCCCATGGAGCTGAAAGTAGGTGAATGCAAGAGCAGAGGCAAAAGCTCCTGGACTGGCCACTCACTCAGCCCCTAGGGCGGCAGAGAGCCACCTGCAGCACGCTTATATCCTCCACCCAGCCTACTGCGTCCACGTACAGGAGCGGAACAGTTTTGGAAGACGCCCAGAATATAGTGGGGTGGGTGTCGTGGTTTCCGTTTTAGTCTTCTGCTCTGCTTCATCGATGACCAGCTAACCATGGACGAACGAAATAAGCATGTCGTGCTCAGTTCCTGGGCTGCAATGGCCCCTTGTCTTTCTACCCACTCCTGACTCCACTGCTCCCTTCCTTCCTGTCTTTGTTCAGACTACAAAATACCATAAACAATACCAATAACAAAACACCATAAACCGGTAGCAGAATTTTATTTCTAATCTTTCTGGAAGGTGAAGGTCCAGCACCAAGATGGCGGCAATCCCACGTCCGGTGCGGGCTTGCTCTCTCATGCACGGCATTTTCTCACGGTCTACACCCTCTAATATCTTCAGTATAGGAAAGAGGATTCCAAACCAGAATTTTGGGAAACACAAAGTTCTGAGCAAGACATCCGCAAACTCACAAAACATAAGGAAGAACCCACAGAAAGCATGAAGGGAATATAGTATAGAGTTTGCCCCTTAGGACTCCTTCCACATAACATTATACAAGCACCAGGTGCAAATTCTGTCCTCTAGACAGAGATCCTCTTACAGGCCCCAAGTACATACATGGACTGCCCATGATCCTGATGTGGCCGGGACATTTCCAGAAAACTCTTCGCCCCTGGGAAATCGCTTTTTTGATCTCCAGGAAAACAAAACAAAAAATCAGGATATCACCATTTGAGATTCCTTCCTTTGAGATGAAGCAGTTTTCCCACATTAAAGTGTAGGTGAATAGAATCTACTCAGGCATATTATTTTGGAGCCTTTTGGGGGTAGTGTTTTCAGCAAGCATCTCAATAAATACACCAGGTAGTTTTCAAGCAAGTAATGTGTCCTGTGTGTGAGGCGCTGTCGGAATACCAAAAATTCCAGGTGTGCTGGTGCAGAAGGGTGCACGTTAAGCTAGTAACTTAGTGTGAGTTTGTCATCAAATATTTACTCTTAGGAAAGACAAACTTATTTAGGACTGAATGGTCATATTACCTTCATGGCAGCCAACCAAACACAAGGAATGTTTCAAATTTTGTTTTTTGTGAGACATATAGATTTCCACTTGGGTTTATTCATTGGTAAATTAACTTTTGTCACTACTATGAAAGGAACTTCTATTTTGTTTTATAGTTATTATTTTATTTTATTTTTTAAATTTTTATTTATTTATTTATGTGTGCGTGTGTGTGGCCAGCTCAGCCCACCAGGGGGCGGGGCTGGCTGGCATGTGGTGCTGGGGGATTGAACCGCAGCCCTTGTGCTTTGCTGAGCTTGTTCTAAGTAGGTGCTTTAGACCACTGAGCCATCTCACCAGCCCCTATAGTTATTATTGATATAAGAAGTTGTAATTTTGTGCTGATGACACTACTTACCTTCTGTGTGATTCCATATATAAAGTTCAAAAACACAAAACTAAACAAGAATAGTATGTGGAACTATAATTAAAATTCAGGAAAATGCTCACTTTGGAGAGGGGAAAAATAAGACTTGAGAGGGACAGAAAAAAATGTTGAAAACGATGACAATGTTTTTCATTTCTTAGAGTTAGTAGTGAGCACAGAAATGTTGACTAGGTTAAAATTATATGGTTTACATAGACTCTATCAATGTTATTTTATATTTACCTAATATTAAAAACTTTTGAAAGATTTAAGGAAACTAAGTACCACTATGTAGGCAAGAGAGACTGCAGTCAAACGCTCTGCCCCTGAGCTGTACCCTCACGCCCTTGGCTAGAGAGGATACACAGCTAACAAATCTACAAGCAAAACGTAAGTAGGGGGCCTGGAAGGAGCTCCCTCAAGCACCAAGACGAGCTTTTCTCTCAGTGTGTGAGCCGTGGTAATCAGGCTTTCCTTCTTAGTCACATAATGTGCTGGTGTACAGAGGCGCTCCCCATTTTAAAATGTTGTTTCTGTATCTGGCTCTTTATTGATAGATATGTTGTTTTACCTGACTTTTTTTGTTTGCTTTTAATGAACTGGGGTAAGTAATTGTCTTCTTAGGGTAGATAGCCATAAATGGGTTACAGATTGTTAGTCAGTTTTTGTCTCTATAAAAAAAAACAAACTGTGAGGAGAAAAGATCTGTTTTTACTCAAGGTTTTGGAGCTTCCTGTCCATGATGATGTGGACTTAAGGCTATTTTTTTGGTCAGGGTTTGGAGGCAGCACATCATGGCCCAGCACAGCTGACGGAACCCCTTACTTTATGACCAAGGAGTGTAAGAGACGGGGAAGAAACCAGGATTCACCGTCCCTGGGAGGGCAGCCCTGTAGTATCTCACACCTCCCAGCGCACCCCACCTCTTGAAGTCTCCACAACCTTCCGGTCGCACCATACTGAGGACAGATAGGCCAAATGTATTCCAAATTCAAGTTGCAGCCTAGATGATTCCCTTCTATGTATTCACAGACAGTGACAAATCTTCCTTCACAGAGATGATACTACCTTTCACTCACACTCACAACTTTTAAATGATCAGGCTCTCTGGATGGTCCTTCCCAAAGGAAGCTTCCAGTTGGTTCTTTCTGCTTCACCCCACTCACCTGTTCAGGCATCACTGACCCTGCATCACTGAGACATCTCTTAGTGAGGGTTCAGTCCTCCTCTGTTCCTGTCACATTTCATCCAGGAGAGCTCTGAGAAGAGAGAGCTAATCATGTTGCTGGCTAATTTAAAATTCTCCTAAAGCATTCCATTGCTTCACAGGTAAGACCCAGGCCCTCAAAATGAGCTTCAAGTGCCTTCATCCTTTGGCCTGGTCTCATTTTCAGTTCAGCTTCAAATGGTCTTCCTGTCCCTTACCTTTGTAAATTGTACATATCCCTATCATTACACTTGTCGCATGGCTCCACAACTATTTACTGGGAAGTCTTTAAAGTCAGAAACCATGTTTATGGTCTTTATCTTTTCAGACTCTATCTCATGCCTGAAGGTGCTCACTAAAGGTTGGAAGGATGAATAAGTTAATGCGTTATAAGGTAACACACTGTCTCTACCATAAAATTCCCTATAATCTAGTTATGAGACAAAATAGATAGGCACCCATGATGCCAGGTCATTAATGCCAAGTGCAAAGTGACAAATGAGTGAGGTAAGTGACTAGCGCTATGCAATGAAAAGAGAGTGATTGCCCTAATCACAGAACTCAGGGTAAATCTAATCATTTTGAGTTAGTAGCTAGAAAAACTATAGCATGTAAGCTCCAATCTTATCTTTGAATCTTTTGTCCTGGGGCCCAGAGACGTGGAATGAAAGGATGCAATGACTTGGCAAAAATCTCAGAGACACAGACATCCTTGCATAACCCACTGTTTCTCAACACTTTTTTTCTTTGTTGCCTCCCCTACAGGGATCTACAGGGCAGCTTTGTCCTTATCGTCTTCTCCCTATGAAAATTTAATATCACTCTTTTTACCCATATGTCTCAGAAACGAGATCTACCCATTAATCTAGACCTACCGCTGACACTTGTGATGGGGAAGGAGCATGTACCCAGCTCCTTAGAAGATATTTGAGGCCTACACATCTGCCTTCTCTCGAGGTGGTCCAAATGATAGCCCTGTGGGCACCTGGCCCCTCTCAGCTCAGCCTCGGGGATGGACCCCTGTGAGGTATGAACAATGCTACATAGCAGAGAAATCTTGGAGAAACATTTTTAAAAGTACAGATTACAAGTCTCCTCTCACGCCTGCCTCTTTTGAGGCTTACCCTCTCCCAGCACTGACGATTGGATGCCAATGTGCGCCGGTCTCACCAGTGCTGGACTGTGGCATCCAAAAACACCACCTGGTCATTAAAGCCCCATCTTCCTATCCTTTCCAAGCCACAGATTCACCTAAGAGTTGGGCAACATCTTCAGAAAGAGGAAACCCCAAGGGCCGGCCAAATAGCTCAGTGGATTAAAGCACTTGCTTAGGCAGATGCCACGCCTGGGGTTCAATCCCCAGTGTGCAGTGTCAGCCCTGCCCCCGGGGTGTAACCTCAGCTCTCAGGAGGCTGAACAAAGGTGGATCACTAGAGTCCAATTTACATAGTGAGACCCTGTAGTCCCTAACTAAAATACAAAGAAAGAAAGAAAGAAAGAAAGAAAGAAAGAAAGAAAGAAAGAAAGAAAGAAAGAAAGCAAGCAGGCAAGGCAAAAAAAGGAAAGGAAAGGAAAACCCAGAAATGTTTCTCGCACTCTGGAGAAGGAGGCAGGAGAGGGAAGAGACTCAGAGGGACATAGAAGGGGTTGGAAAGAGATGGGGAGAAGGTGAGAGAAACATAGGGAATTCAGAGGAAACCCAAACAGGATAAAAGCAGCCCAGATCACAAGGAGGGAGAAACAAAGAAAGGGAACCACGACCAGGGCTGGGTTACACGTCCCCTGGTCCAACCTCAGAGATGGTATCAGTTTACAAGTAAGAAAAGGAGAGTTCTGACCCATGTTTGAGACCTTCTGTGGCCATTTGCCAGTTGGATATTTTAAGAAAAATCATTTATCTTCTGTAAGAGTAATTTCATATTTTAATTTGGAATTATGGGCATTCTGTGGAATATTGTATCTTAAGGTAAATTATGAATATAAATATTGCTATATTAAATTAAATATATTTTAAAACAAATATATCAAACAAAGTGATAACCTAAGATTAATGGCCTGGGGCTGGATAGACCATGACATTCTTGAAATCACCTTTTTTTGTCACAGAATAAAGGATCTTAAGCCCAGAGAATGGATGTCCATGGAACATTCCACGGCTAGTTGGGAACAAAGTGCATATTGAGATAGACCAGCGGCCAGCTGTCAGCAAGGAGCACAAGCACGTACACAGCGCACTGCACCT